TATGAGTTATCCCAATGTAAATAAAAGAGCSTGTTTTGCTCACAACAGTGTATCCCTGAGCATAGAACTGATAAAGTTAGGCGGCAACTTGACCTAGCCTCCACATGACTTATGTCATGATTTCCCAWCATCTGGCTGAGTTTACTCCATACGATTGATGATTGTGAGAAATTGGCAAAAAAAAATGATAAAACTGGTCAAACGGGTCTTCTATATTTCTATTACAAAGTTTTCAAACTTTAGTCTAAATTAACTAAACCTACATATAATACTGAATATAATATAGCTTAATGCCCAAAAATATGTGAAGTTGGTCTACAAATTGGTTTTTAACTCAAAGCTCAACTGTATGCATAATTGCTTGGAGTCCGATCCTCTGGTTTGCATCTTAGGCTGGCATCCTACTTTTTGGTCCTGGCTGGTTTTTTTTTTTTTTCATTTTAATCTCTTACACGAATTAGATTGGTGTGAAACTTGTGGAACATAAATTCCGTTTACCGCGAGATCTTTATTTTACAAATCACCAACTTCTTCTCTCTGATTTTGAGAGCCATTGAAAACTGATATTTCAATGTCGAGTTCTAAGGAGAACGAAATTGTCTCCAACTTCAAAATTACGGTTGCACTGATCTACAGTGATTTTGTTTCCCTGGATATGAAATCAGTTTTGTATACATTTGTGCTCCGAATTCAAGACACTAGAAATGTTTTTGTAATATTCAATCCCGTTTATTTTAAAATTTTCAATTTCATTTCTTATTACAAAACTCAGAAATCATGAAACAAAATTTTACATACATATGTGCGTATATTTAAATTATCATTTCTGATTTGAAAAATAATCATTAATCGAAGTCAAATGTCGAAATTGTATGTTATATTATATTTGAAGCGTGTTTTATGAGCTCTTATTTTATAATTTTCCATTTAGCAGTATCTTTTCAAGAAGTAGCAGTAATCTGCAATCATGATCCAAACAACCTTTAGACCCTAGTGGAACAGCTCTTTCCTTTTCTCACAAATTTTCTGATTTATCCGCAAATGTATCGTTGTATCATACTTGCGCTTAAAATCTTAAAGCTTGGCTGCATATGAACRCATTTTTCATTCGCTTGTGCTTTCAAGTTCCGTAGGAAAATTTCGACTATTAACACTAAACTTTTCCAAGCGACGCATTTCAGAACAATCATAACTTTGATAAAATCGGTATCCTTCATGAATTATTTGAGAAGCAACAAAGAGCTTCCACCACAGTATAAAATAAAATAAAAATTCGCATTGCTTTGACATAAATATATTTCRTGAGACTTATATATTACATAAACCATATACTGTGGAAAATTACTCGTCAAAGCTCGGCTTCTCTCAGTAAGTTCTACAAAAAGCCTGCCTTTGATGTCCCAAATTTATATCGCGTGCTTATGATTTTGTTGCATTTTTGTCGCTTGTTTCTGTTTCTGTTTCWGTTTCTATTCCCATTTCGATTTTCAAATGGCATAAAGTCAGCAACAACAACAAGCTGCTGTCAGGCAGGCGAGCAAAAGCGACTCAACTTAAGGAGCGACCGAAAATGTTAAATGGGAAAATCCACAAAAATCCCCCGTTTGAAGTGTGCACACCTGCGTTGCGGCACAGCGACATGTGCTCCTAAGCATTATTGATGGTGTGCCACAGCGCTGCCGTTATTTGTGTGTTGCCTGTTGTTGCTTGATGAAAGTGCCGGTGCAGCTGCTTTGCGCCAAATTGAGGACAAAGTTTGCAATTTTAATGCCAATTCGAATGGAATTTCCCCTCGAATATGAGTGGAAATAAAAACGCGCGACGGCTGCGGAGCCGGGGCAAGCAAGGTGCGGCTGCGGCATTTCAAAGCATACTTTTACGCGCAACCGAATTTCGACTGCGGTTAATATTTTAAGCAACGCAAAACGGATGGCGCGCGGGTGTAAGAGGGCAGCAGCAATGCACTGCTAAGTAGGTCGAACGCTGGCAGGCGCCGCCTTCGCAAAGGTAAGCGACAACAACACTGCAAGCGCGCGGCAGCCAGCGTGTGAAAGAAGCTATTTTGGACAGTTTTCGTATTGCGAGCGTTCAGCTGCTTCATTGCCCGCGTGGCGTGACAMTTTTCCACTTTTTATACCCTTTTTTATGCGCTCATTTCGGCCTCACACACACACACACATGCACACACACACACATGCGCACACTTGTACAGGTGGATTTCRGCTTTAGTTGGCTTGACGTTGTCAGAGTTTTCGGTGTCAGCTCACAGGCGGACAGTTTGCGCTGGCGATAGTGAAAGCATATGAGTTTCTGGTTGTGTGTATGTATGTGTCCGTTGCCGTCGATTACACTGAGTGCCTGAAATTGCAATGAACGAYTGTGAAATATACGCCACACACATACTCTAGCATTGAGTTATCTCGCTCCTTTTCTGCTTGTCACCGTTAAAATTGCGGGACATTTATTGATTTTTGCCGTTAATATTTTAACGTGCACTTATAAGAGCATGCGTTGCAGGACATCGCACACGCTTGTCAATTTCAATTCAAACGCGCAGCAATTTGAACAAGCCAAGCATATGTGTATGTAGATGTGTGACTGTGTGTGTGTGCAGGTGCCTTATGTGACTGAAAATGCTTTGTGTTCATCGACCAATCTGAATGCGCACGAATTTATGCGTGTGTTCTGCAGAAGATGTGCGGGTATGTATGAAGTGAACCTTGGTCGAATTTAATGTAATAAGTTATCACATTGTGAAATATTTTTATTTGCACTTTCCACCTGACTTAATTGTACAAATCAGAACTTAGACGCTTGATCAGTCAGTTGTTTCAGCTTCAGCTGTCAATTTCCATCCCAGCGTCCAATCCAAATCTCCTGTGCAGACACACTTTCAAGTTAACCACATTGTCAACTGTTCCTGAAAGATTGTAAAAACATTCGTAAATCAAAAAGTATTGGTAATCTTCAAGGTACCAAACTCGTTTTTATTTCGAAGTGATTTCAAACCCTTCATTGGGACTTTGTGCCATTTAGTTAATGAAATCTTCAGTTCATTTGTTAACATTAAGATCGGTCAATAGATTCCGAAAGGTTTCTGCAGCAACTCCTGAAACAGGCAATTCAATGAAACATTTAAACAGAATGCGTAATTTTTTCTTTTTCTTACGTGATTTTTTGTAGATTTACTCGCGRAATATTCTCTTCCAAGGCATCGCCGACTTATTTGCGTAGACAAGCGATTTCACATGATCCCACAAAAATTAGTCCAGCGTTGTTAAATCACATGACCTTTAGGCAACGCCACCAGTCTTAAAAGCGAAGTAATGCGCTCACCAAAATTTTCCTTCGAAGGTCGTCCACATCAACATCTGCCAATTCAGGCACAATAAAGTCATTAATCGTGGCTCTAAAGCGTTTCCCATTGACTGTTGCTCGAGTWGGCCTTCCGCAAAAACTTCCATAAAGTGAATGACCACAGCTCCAATTGTTGCATACTGACACATTCGGGTCTTCTTCATTACTCTGCGACACAGTAGCGCATTCGGTGTGTACTGTAAGGCGTCTCCGAGGATGTACATTACCTTAAGGTGAACGTGATAGGAAACCGATCCCTGGTTGCTTGAGTTATCTACTCTGCTAAGCCATTATGTCAATCGCATTTTGGAGCATGAACCATGATCTTGAATATAAAGAAAGTAACAGCTTTCAAAAAGACAAACTCCGAAAAAAGTAGTTCCCCATTCAAAACCATATGTCTAAACAAACACCCATTACAAGTCTTATCAAAATACTAGCAGTTAGCAATTGATCATCGTCAACGTGTGTCATCCTGGTTCTACAACAAGCGAAGCATTTATTCATTTTCACATAGCTTACGAGTATATGATCATCGAGGAAAATATAATCAGTGAACGTTTAAAATAGGCATTTAAGGATGAAAATGTCAAATCATACGCAAAAAATTATGTTGATCAAAATAACTGTAATTCTAGAGGTATCAAATATTGACATGTTATTCTTATATGTTTTGGTATGTGAAAACCTGTGTAATGTAAGTGCCGATAGAGTTCGGCGACCTCAAGAGGCTCCATATAAAAAAGGTGTCTTTAAATTTTTTTGAAACTTTTAATAACAGCTAAACTTCTTAAAAATACTACTAAACTCATTATTTTATTTTGTTGCATAAATTTGCCCTAAATTTCATATCATTAACCACATAAACTTGCTTTTAAGCTCAATATGCAAATATTTTAGTAAAGAAGATACTTAAGGTAAACATATRTTACTGATTTGCCTTGTATTCGAGCAGCTTTTATTTTTATGTAATACAAGCAGCTTGCCACAATTTGCATATTTTGCCACACTTCAATCAATTCATGCGAAATTTGTGTAGTTGAGCCAGCACCGCCTGCCATTCGGTTCACCGTGTCGTGTTGCGCTCTTTGCCGCACTTAAGCTTGCAGCATGCTCCATCACCTCTGCGCCTTGCGACCTTTCAACCGTGCGCCGTTAAGCATATGAATTGAATTTCTTGCAACATTTCCATATTTTTAGTTTTCCAATTCCTCAACGCGCCGTTGCAAGGTAAGCAACTCAAGCCGTCGCGCGCAACACAATACAACGCTGCTGAAACGCAACAACAAATCCAACAAAAAAGCAATAAAAACTGTTATGGCATTTGTTGTCACTTTTTTTTTTTTTTTCTCAGTTGCTGCTGCGCAACGCTACCGTTACACCGTTACACAAAGAACACCCTTCCATCAGCTGCCAGCGCCGCAAATATGAATAACAACAATAGCATTGTGGCTGCGCGCTGTTGCGCCTAAATTTATGCAATATTTTCTGTATTTGTATGCCATTTTATTGTATTGTAGTTGTTGTATTCTTGCATCCCACGCTTTTTATGCCACACTTTACTAACTTTGCAAATGTTTTTCTCTTTTCTTCCTTTGCGCTTGCCACACACACACACACACGCACAYGCTCGCCTCTGCCAGGACTTACAATCGGAAATTGAAACTCATCGTGTMGTTTATGATCGTCTCGATGGCACCGGCCGCAAATTGCTAGGTTCACTCACCTCACAAGAAGATGCCGTTATGTTGCAGCGTCGGCTGGATGAAATGAATCAGCGCTGGAATAATCTGAAGTCGAAGAGCATCGCCATCAGGTGAGTACACCCCTTTGCCCCCACAAATGGGGGTGCYTTGYGGTGTGAGTGTTGGTGAAAGAACGAAAGCCTAAGTGTCGACAACGGCAATTCTTCATTTGAATTGTGCGACTTTATGTTGTTGTTATTGTTGTTGTAGTCGTATTAGTGGCAGCAGAAACATAAAGAAATTATGCAAACAAAAAAGGAATTGAATTAAAAGTCGAGTGCGCTGCCACGCCCCATTGTCGACCTATTGCGGTAGGGTCGTAGARCGCGTCGCCTCATTACAATAGACACATCGCTTATGCTTCGTCATGGGCTCGCGTATACYCGTGGTGTGAATTGCATTGTCAGCGAGTGAGAGAATATTTTCAGCGCCGCTGACAACTATTTGCTGAGTGCAGTGAACTCYTTCTGAGCAAAAGTTTCAGTTTGTGCGGTAATGTGTAAAGTGATGAGTTGAACAGCCGGAAGGAAAAATAGTAATTCAATAATATGCGACAYTTACCACATTATTATTTTCATATTCCGACTGATGTACGAGTAGATACATTCCTTTCAACTGCTCCCAGCATTTTTCGGGGTATTTAAGGTTGTTCTAAATTTTTTTGTCCCTATTAATGTTTAAGTTATCTAATGTTAAAGCTTAGAAAGCTAGAAGGCTTCACAATAGTTTCACTCCCAGAGGAAGAAGTCTTAAAGCTTAAGAAACCTATAAAATACGAAATTTCATCCCAATGTGAGCTGTGGCAGGACCTTGGTTAGGTTTTGGACCTCATCCATTTGAAAGATTATGACGTGATGACTATACCACTTGTGGTATTATAATACCATATCTCAYACCCTAGACTGGTTATCATTCCCGTTAATGTACTCCCAAATTCAAAAGTGGAAGCAGAATTGTATATGCATATATTAAAAAGTTTGGAGCAATACCTTAACCAGGCCTGAAAGAAACTCGAATTTTCTCATTTAAGCCGTAGATCTGTCCTTATCCCTTATCACATATTAGTTTACTTCTTCTTATTCGATTGAAGAGCAAATCGAAAGTTCATGTTCCAGAAATTATCACTCTATGTCAACGAATACCTCCAAAAAGAAAACTTTCACGTTTTCGTCAGTTTAAATAAACTTGGACAGAACTTTTAGTAGTCATTAGAGAGTTGTCACTTGCTTTGTCCGTTCGTCAAAGTTTTCCGCACCTCCCATCACGCGTTTAAATGTTGCTTTTTCCAGCGGGAATCTCTAAAGAGCATGAGGAATGGCATCTGTTGTTAAACAAGACTCTGTCGGAGTAGTTAGTTTAAGTATGAAGTTGATTCTAATGGGATCGCATGTGAACAGCCAGTCCATTGCTTTACCGAACTACTCGTACATAATAGTATTTTTTAAAGTAGCTGATATAAATCTCGTATATTACACTGGTTCACCGAGGATTAGACTGCGAGGCATTCCAACTTCCGCATTCAAATCCTAGACAGTTGCGGAGAATGTTATAAAGCAGTATTTCGCACATTTTGCCGGAACATTGCTGATTATGGTTAAAAATTATTGAATTTTGATCGACAGGAGAGCTCTCATACAGGGTGGCTGATGAATTTTGCGACATTAGGAAACTCAAATAATATTTTCTTTTTTTTTTTT